AAGCGAAGAACGTGGAGAATGACAAGAAAACTGGTGAGTTCAAGATTCTCCTCGATATGGTGAAGGTTTTTTTGCATACCAAGCTTGAAATAAATTATATTTATGTTTAATAATGCCAGGACAGACGAAAATCAATATCGGGGAAGTGTGCAGACAAAGTTTGGAAAAATACGAAAAATGCCAAATTTGATGTAACCTTTCGCTGATTGGATTCGCATCTCCTATAGTGCGTTTCAAGCTTGATATGCAGCGACAAAACCTTTACCAACCTTTTTTGAAATCTTCGTTTGGGACAAAGTTGACAAATCATCATGTTCTCATGTTCAAAAATCTAAGCTTCAGTTTTATTTTTCATTTTTTTCCCCAATTAGAAATGTCAGTGACCAATCACAATTACTCAACACGTTGGGCCCAGTCTCCTATCAAATGYGGTTGCTGTCATGAAAATGTTGTCAAGTCATACCGCTGTATACAACTTGGATCATCGCCGGCGCACCTGAAGCCAGTCTTTTCAAAAGAAGGAAAAAACAATTTGAGGATTTGCAGAAAATGCCTTAACTTTCCTTCCAGAGTTAAGTCCTTTTTATAAGTGTTTAGATTTAATTATTATAATAATAAGATATTGCTGGTTGCCTAGCTTTCACTAATGTTGCATGCTCATTTGAGGCTTGGCAACACGCATTACTCATTTTTGCTCCGAGAGCTGGCACTTCTTTCAGTCCTTTACTTGGTGGAAACCAAAACTATACCCAGGACCCTGTTCTTGCTGCGCATGCGCAGGAGGAAGCGCAACAGAGCTCTGGTCTAGTGAACGACCATTTCTCGGTCTGTGTAAATCCCGTAGTGCTTATGAAAATCAGAGAGAGTCTTAGAAGTTGAAATGTAGCCGTAGGTTGAAACTGAATTTACTTGTTGTGGTCAAAGACTGGCAATGGAATGCTTCGTTTCAGCATTCGAGACTATATATTTGCTTAAGCCCTCGCTTGTTTTCCTTGTGCTTGCATCGCTACTGAACCTCAAGCGTAACGTTTGGTCTTTATCTATTGATTTGAGCCCACATCAATATGGCATGACAACTTATAGGATACTTTTACATTTAGCTAAATGTGCGCTCTCTATGATTCGTGCTATCGAAAAGAATCCTCAGCCAAAACAAAATTGGCAAAAATAATCTAGTGAAACAACTTTCTTTTTTATGTAATTATGTCTAAATTAAAACGGCCCGGAACAGGGCTTATTATGGCCACGATTCACATTGATCGTAATCCTGATATTTATATGTCGAACATAATAATCTAAAAACCAATGGCATTATATATTATGAAGTAGTATGAATATACTCAGAATAAGCGAAGAAAATAACTTAATCTCTAGATACAAGTGCTGGGATTTTTTTCTCAAGATGGCCGCGGCAACGTGGCTTTTAGCACCACAAGTTTGAGCTTTGAGTAGCATTTGGCTCGATATCTTCGCTTTCTCTAGTTGCGAACTTTTTTGTAGTAGAAGACGAAACTAAAAATCAGAAAGTTGAGTAGCGTCAGCTTGGTATTCATTCGCGGTTGCAGTACGTGTTTTGTAGCACGTGTGCAACTTAGGCGTGAAAAATTGGACCCGCCCCTCTCTTCCCTCGGGTGTAATTTTGTCAAAACGACCGGAAATCATTTCCATAGACCATGTGGGTAAAGGGAGAAAGCTATTAAACGAGTATACAATGACAAAACAATTATGCCACATGCGTTCTAAACCTCAATTTTCACTAAACATTAAATATCT